TCTGCAAGAACAACCAGTGTTCTTAACCCCTGAGCCATCTCTCCAGCTCCAACACCAGATTTTTTTATGTTTACAAAATACCCCTGACTTTGAATACATAGATATATCTTGAACTTGGTAGATGAGACCCTAATAGTCTATGCTCTGTGAACCCTTTTGTTTTGTTTTTTGTTTTTGTTTTTGTTTTGAAAAAATCCCAGTCTGAATGGTTTCTCAAGGAAACTTACTGGATTTCAAGTCTAAGAGCATAATTATCACCATTCACTTCCCACAATGTTGGAACATTTCCTGCAAACTATATTAGGGTAAGCTGTTGCATCATATACTTAGCTAACAAAATTATTTAGGATTCTCATTCACTAAATTTAAGGTTTAGAATACATTGAAAAAAACAAAAATAATACTGATTTGGCTTTTCATAATAACATTTGCCTTATTATTTAAATACTTAAGAATTGATGTGGGGTGCTTTAGAGATGTCTCAGCAGTTAAAAGTCCTGGCTGGACTGCAACTTCCTATGTAGACCAGGCTGGCTTTGAACTTCCAAGTGTTGGGATTAAAGGAATATACCACTGTGCCCAGATTTTTGTTTGTTTTGGTGCTTGTTTTGCAGTTTGTTTTTTATGGGCTTTCTAATGTAATTTTTAACACTTAGATTACGCTCAGTCAAGCTGAGCATTATCATATAGCTGCTCAGATTTGGTCTGATAGCATTCATCCTCTGTGTGCTTCCATAGCAATGACTGCTTCCATAGCAATAAATCTGAAACAAATAGCAGCTTAACGACCTACACACAAGGGAGCTTGTCTTGCAGTTTTGATTTCGTTTTGTTTTGTTTTTTCTTGAGAAAACCATGACATATCGATGGTTTATTTTTTAAAATGTTTTACATTGTAGAGCCTCAGGTGTCTGCTGGTCCACTTTGATGTGCACTTGATATGCTCAGTGTCTACAGATTGGCATGCATTACTAGCATAGTGTAGAGATCACATTTGGGGCTCAAGCCTTTGAATTGCTTTTGGCCTTGAAAGAAGTTTTCCATTTACCTATTTTTTTCCTATTACAAAGCCAAAAACTTCCATAGAGTTTAGAAGATGCCAAATAATGTGTTTATAACAACAGCTAAAACATTTCCATCTCCACTTGACACTTCTTAAAATCTAAATGACAAGTATAAGTTTGGATTTCAAATACAGTAACTGGTCCCTAAAGCCTCAAGAAAAATAATTTGAAATCAGTTTTGTAGCTAGGAGACAAAGGTAATGATGAGTTTTTTGTTTTTTGTTTTTCTGAGAATGTTCTATTCATGGTCTAATAATAAATAGGAATTTGCAGCCAGAGTTTTTACCTCCCAAGATCATGTGTATTTCCTCTTATTGGTTGCAAAAATTAATAATAGTTAATCATAAAGTATGCATTTAGCTCATGAGTTCATTTATTTTTAAAAATTAAATTAACACTAGGGAGGCAGAGGTAGGTGAATCTCTCTGAGTTTGGGCTAGCCTTGTCTACATAGTGATTTCTAGGCCTGCAGTGAGGCATAGTGAGACCCTGTCTCAAAAAACCAAAATAAACAAAAATACAGTGATGTACACTTGAGTCCTCGTCTCTAAAACCTGTTTTTACCAGAGTTTTTCTGTACTCCCAGGACTGCTGTAAGTAAAAAGATCACCAGTTACTCTCTCGAGCTCAGTGGCCATTCTCAGTCTTTCACTCACTTGGCTTTCTGCACCATGTTCTTGGTGATGGCCTGCTCTCTGGTGGCCCCTTTCATCTATCTCTTTTGCTGACTTCCCTGAGCTCTTATTAGAGTGCCTCAAACTTTAGTCTTCAGCCTGTTCTCTTCCTCACAGGCTGTTCCCTTGGTGATTATATCCAGTTACTTAGCCAGCAGCCTAATGGACTTCTTCACTTATATGTCCCAAGGATGAAGAATATCCAATCTTAACTCTAGGCTTTCCCTTTCCCCACAGTATTTTCTCTGTCAATTTCATAGTAAGTCCAATCTCCCAGTTGCTTTTCTGCATCTTCTCCTTCAGAAAACCCTGCTTGGCTATCTATTCTGAACATACGTGTTACTGCTTATCTTATCTCCACCGTGGTCACCCTGGTCCCAGTGCCACATCTCTGAACTGGTGACCACAGAAGCCATTTAACTCGTCTCCATTACTCCCCTTCTGTTTTCAGTTATGTCAGGCAGAATGGTGGAAGCCTGATTGTCTTTCTCTGCTTATTCCTGTGAGAGGCTTTCTCTTTCACCTAGACTATGTTATTACTTTCTTATCCTTCACTCTTTCTTGTTTACTTCTTTTCAGCACTGTCTGTATCCCCAGGTACCGCCATGACTTTGCTCTTCATTCTGTCCACCTCATGCAGATAACACTTTGTTTGCTTTGTCTCTGTCCAAATGCTAATCATCACCACGCCCAGCTAGCTACACTATAGTTTATTGTGTGATAGCATGTGTAAAAAGCAATACAACATTCTTGAGCTAAAAAATAACTTACTGCTAAAGAATTCCAGTGATCAGTAAGCCTTTAGCTTGTCACCCTTTTGCTGATGGAAGATATTTTACTCTTTGTTGGTAGCTTCTTAGTGGTGACAGTGGTGAGTGTGGTACTTTCTTAAAATAAGGTAGTGGAGTTTGCAACATGACTGACTTTAATTCCATTGTTGTCATTTCCAGTGTTCACTGCCTCTTCACCAAACACAGACACTATGCTCCTCTGTCACAAGCAGCCCCTCACCCACTGGTTTTATGCCAGATTGTACCAGTTTGGCCTCATCTTCCGAATCTTGTTCAGCTTTCTTGCTACTGCTACTGCATTTTGCAGTTTCTTCTTCAGTACCTCAGAGTCATCTGTGAGGGTTAGAACCAACATCTTCTGAACTTCTGTAATGTTGTTTCAGCCTACTCCTGTCAGTCACAAGTGTTCTTAGTAACTTCCAGAACAGTGAATAGTGATGGCTCTCAACTTGCTTTGCCCGGATCCATCAGAGGAATCAGCCTGTGGCAACCATGGCCTTTTGAAATCTATTTCTTAAATAGTAAAACTTGAAAGTCAGAATTAACTCCTTCATCCCTGTGCTGCAGAGTGGATGCTATATTAGCAGGCAAGAAGAAAACAGGAATCTCAGTATATCACCATTAGAGCCCTTTGGTGACCAGAAAGGGTATTTTTAAAGGAACTTTTTTTTTCTGAGCTGTAGTTTCAACAATAGGCTTAATATATTCTGTAAACCATACTCTAATCAGATGTGTTGTCATCCAGTCTTTGTTGTTCCATTTGTAGACCAAAAGTGGAGTAGATTTGGTTTAGCTCTAGTTTTAGAAGGGTAAATGAACATTGCCTTCAAGTTAATCACTAGCTGCATCAGCCCCCACCAAGAGTCATCCTATTTTTTGAAGCTTTGAAGCCAGGTGTTGATGTCTCTCTAGCTATGAAAGTGGAAAATGGCATCTTTTTTTTTGTCTTTCTGAGACAGGGTCTCCCTGTAACCCCAGCTGGCCTGGAACTCACTATGTAGACCAGGCTAGCCTTGAACTCACAGAGATCCACTTGCCTCTGCCTCCCGAGTGCTGGGATTAAAGGCATGTGCCACCACACCTGGCTTGTAAATGGCCTCTTCTAATGTAATAATTGATCCATAATTGAAAATATGTTCCTTAGTGTAACCACCTTCATCTCTTAGCCTTACCTAATTCTTCTGTATAATTTACTATGGCTTCTATATCATCAGTACTTGTTGCTTCACCTTACACTTTAGTTTAGTTTAAATAGGTTAATTAGGTTGCTTAGTTAATGAGGCAGGTTTTTGCTACATAGCTCAAGTTGACCTCAAGCTTTCAATCCTCCTAATGTTATGTACCACTACACCAATTTATATTCATTTTAAAATACAATCCCTGGTCACTCTGCTTCTTGAATATATTATCAGTTTAGTAATATCTTTTGGTAGAAGGTACAAATCCATAGACTTTGCTGAACAGCATCTCTGCCTGTACCT